ATTTTATGTTATCTTAACCTTTAATATGTAAATATCATTTTATTCCACTGACTTTTTGAATCTTTGACTATTTATTGACCTTCTTAATCAATCTAAATCCGGAGGGTGCTTTTTTCAAGAAATCAGATAAAATTGTTTCAACTAGCTAAATAAATTAAAGCATCATTTTTGGATTGGTCACAACAGCTATTAGGTTATCTGAGTCGGCAATGGTGATAAAACGGCATGTGATCTGGGTTAGTTCAGTCTTAGTTATTTGAATAAACTGCCTTGATGACACCCTTTGTTAAATTATGACATTTGTCAGTTTAAACCTTTTATTTCCATTTAGGACGTTTAACACTAAATTGGATATTATCTAAGGCTTGGGACCTACGCCAAATACTTTTCAGCCATTATTTGGACTGATAGATCGATGGGTGTAACTCAGGTGAAAAAAATATGAATGGAGCTCATCATAATGATTGAGTTGAATGAAATTATCAGACTTTGGGAATAATTCAAAAAGAAGGAAGACAATTAATATTAATATCAGAAAGAAACTAAGTTACTAAATAGCCAAATTTTCTCCCCCAGATTTGCCTTTTTATTTCTTGTTTAGTTCTCCTATATCACAAAGAGGTGGTTGAGATTTCTGTAATCAATGATTCTGGCATTGTGAAACTTCTTACTTTAAACCCTGTCAATCCCCGATCCCCGATCCCCAAGTCCCATATCTGTTTTCCTTTGGTTCCTTTTTGTTGTGTCAAAGGTAGATTGTGTTTCTAGATTTTTACCTGCTTACACACTTACCTTGACAGATGAAGTAGCATTGTCTCTGCTAATGGTTGTTATATCTTTCCTACTATTTTTCCAGGTCTTTGAGTTGAGTTCGACAAATGGGCCAGAGGCAGGATTATCTTTATTCAGAAAGGTACCCCACTTTAGGATACTTGTATGTGGTGGAGATGGTACAGTTGGTTGGGTGCTTGATGCCATAGACAAACAAAACTATGAATCACCTCCACCTGTTGCAATTCTTCCAGCTGGCACAGGCAATGATCTTGCAAGAGTTTTGTCCTGGGGAGGTGGTCTTGGGGCTATCCAAAGACAAGGAGGTCTATGCACAGTTTTGCACCACATAGAGCATGCTGCAGTCACCATTCTTGATAGGTGGAAGATAACAATAGAAGATTTGCAATCTAAGCATGTCCATCCCCCGAAATTTATGAATAACTATCTAGGTATGCAATGCAAAGTATACAGTGCAAGATTTCCTATGGTCCTTTGAATAGACCAATAACTTATTCTTATATATTTACAGGGATTGGATGTGATGCAAAGGTTGCCCTAGACATTCATAATCTTCGTGAAGAAAACCCTGAAAAGTTTTTCAATCAGGTATCTATTTTCGTCATTTTTCCCCCTACAAATTTTTGTTTGAACAGTGAAAATTCTTGTGTCTGGGAGTTCCGTAATGATGTGAAATTCCACTAAAAGAATCCTTCACCACTTGCCAAATCCAACTCATAGTAGCTAAACAACTTCTCTAACCCATATTATATATCTGTGGAGGACTGTCAAGCACCGATCAGACTCAAACTGCACCTATTGAACTCCTAATATTAAAATGCTAATTTAAAGCCACTAGGTTTTTTTGACGAGGCTGGGTAGCTTATCTCTCAGTTGTTGTTGTAGTTGAGTCTTTTTTATTCTAAATCTTTTCTGGATCGAGCTATTATCTGTTTTAGGTGAGATTTCTCGTTCCTTTTCTTACTTCAGTTAGGTTTCCTTAAAATGAAAATCCCATCAGGCACCAATTAGACTCAAACTGCACCTATAGAGCTCCTTCTAATATTAAAATGCTAATTTAAAGTCACTAGGTTTTTTATGAGGAGGCTTGGCAGCTTCTCTCAGTTGTTGTTAAAGTAGTTTAGTCTTTTTTATTCTAAATCTTTTCTGGATCGAGCTGTTATCTATTTTAGGTGAGATTTCTCCTCCCTTTTCTTACTTAAGTTAGGTATCCTTAAAATGAAAAAACCATTTTCAGGCTAGCCCAGACTGCTGCCTGCTACAGTTGCTAGAATTGGAGCCAGTGCGTGCTGTATAAGGCTGCACTAAGCCTGATTGGGCCTCTAGCTCCAAGATGACCAACTAAGGTGGGGCTGTTACATATGGGCCCATGACATGGTGGTGCATGTAGCCTACAGCTAGCTCTGCACTAAATGTGACTAGGGACTTTTCTGTTCCTTTTATAACTTTTCTTCTGTTCCTTTTATGTCACAAAATTCGATGAATAGTTACCTCTGAAGTTAATTGTGGTCTCAAACTGGTTGGTACTTTATAAAGCTTGAACTGGAAATAAGAAAATTTTGGATGACATTTGAAAACATGTTCTCGAGCTTTCTGTTTTTTAGGCAGATGAAATTATTGCTTTAGCTGCTCACAGTTTGGTAGTAACTTCTGATGGATGGAGTGGTAGCTTTTAACCGCTCAAAGTTAGGATCGGGAACTGATCTGAGCTTCTTGGCTCTTTATTTTGGCTACCATTACAAACCATATAATATGTTGATACGCACAAAGCAGCAAATGAAGAATGGTGTGCGATTTGGTTTAGTACTAGAAGGATTCCATGTGGGACTGCAGCAGCTCATGAGAATCAGCTCTGAGTTAGTGCAGATACTGGGCTTGATGTGAGTTGGAAATTTTAGTCATACGTACAGAAAGAACTGCATGTTACATGCCAATCTGGTTCGGACTTCTACCACTGTGGTTGCATGCCCACCTTCCAGAGTTCATTGAAGGACATGATTCCAGCATAAGATTTTAGAGTGATGTAGTTGTGATTGAAAGATGTTTGCACACAATCCTCGAGTAGCGGTTGGGGTCAATCCAGAGAGTAGGGTTTTAAATGCTTTACATGGGAATTGTATTGCAAGATTGCTTAAAAGTATATAATCATAAATTCATTTTGTAGCAGCAACAAGCAAAATTTAACTGGTATCTTTATCCATTTGCCTACCTTCCTAATAATAATATTAAAGTTATTCATGTTTTATGTAGCAGCATAATAGAGCCTCAACTCCTATGTTTTGTCAGCTAACATTGAAAAATTGGATTTAATTTGCTGATCTCTTATGATGTTATTTATTTTGTTTTTGTGGTTTTACATGATTTAGCAGCTCAAGGTTTTATCTTGGCTTGACTGCAGTTCCTAAATAAGATGCTTTATGCAAGAGAAGGTGCAAAGAACATCATGGATAGGACATTCGCAGACCTACCTTGGCAGATCAGATTAGAGGTTGATGGAGTTGAAATAGAGGTTCCTGAGGTATGAGTTATCCTGTAAGATGTGTGTTAATCATGGTAAAGTTTAAATCAAGCTATCACATCCTAGAAGTGGATGCCACAAATAACTAATGTGTATCTTTACATAAGTACATTGGAGTGTGGTATCGTCTTGATGACTATCATATGCCTTTAGATTTTTTCTTTTCGCTTGAAGGTGTTATAGTGCCTGTGTGTCTACTATATCTCAAAATCATGTGTAGGTAGGGATGACTCTACTGTAACCTGTGTGTACACTTTTCCTTGCATGTACTTGTGTCCAAATCAGTTCTTGCAACCTTGCTTTTTCTTTCTTGTCTTTAAGGCTGCTTACTTTTGACCTCAATTTCACTAATAGTGTCCTGTGCTTAATATTTGTTTGAACTAAGTTCATTGGATGGCCTTTCTTCTCATTCCATGTTGCTTCATGTACTTCATGCAAAATGCTGAATGTACTGAATATCTGCAGGACGCAGAAGGAATACTTGTTGCAAACATTGGAAGTTATATGGGAGGTGTTGACTTATGGCAAAATGAGGAGGACAACAATGACAATTTTGATCCTCAGTCAATGCATGACAAGATGATAGAAGTTGTCAGTATCAGCGGGACTTGGCATCTGGGGACGCTTCAGGTAGATAGCTGAATTATGTCTCTTCTCTTTTTTTCCCTTAGCGAAATTCTAGTTTAATCACGGAGGCATATAAAGCCAAAATTGTTGTTCATTAACTTTTGTTAAAAAAAAAAACTTTTGTTTTGTTTTTCCTTAGCTGAATTCTAACTTAATCACGTTGGCATATAAAGCTAGATTTGTTGTTCATGAACTGTAGTCTAGTGATACTTAACATAGTATAATTTATTTTAAATGGGAGTCAAAATCTGAAAATTCTCATGTGGTACTAGGTTGGGCTTTCTCGAGCTCGGAGACTAGCACAAGGCCAGCTAATTAAGATTCAGTTATTTGTTCCATTCCCTGTTCAAGTTGATGGGGAGCCTTGGATTCAGCAGCCATGCACATTAGCAATATCTCATCATGGCCAGGTTTCATACCTACCTCCATATTTTGTGCCATTATTATATATTCCCCTTTCATGTTGTACTTGTTTGAGTGCTTAGGCTTTCATGTTGAAGAGAGTATCAGAGGAGCCGCTTGGTCATGCCGCTGCAATAATAACCGATGTGCTAGAGAATGCTGAAAGCAGCCATGTGATCACTGCCTCACAGAAACGGGCCCTTCTACAGGAGATGGCACTAAGGCTTTCATAGTACCTGGGCAAATATCGATGCCTATTGGACACCTTAATATCCTTTCCTCCATGAAGTTGAAATCATAAATCATACTGTGGTTTTTGTAGATATCAGAAAATTCTTGTACATTATACATAACATCTTTGTTCTTTAGTTTGTATGTTTTCTTTATTCGTGTCACTTACAGCTGCCTATAATTAGTATCATGGAGGCTTGACATTGGATCTATGTCCATTTCCTCCTTATGCTTGTGGGCTCGTTGCAGAGTCCATGTGAAATTGTATTTTACAGTTCAAAACTTCTAAGACTTGTTACTGTCTTTTCCATATGTTTCATAAAGAATTATTCAGTGAAATTTTTGGAAAAGGTGCAAATGCTTTGCTGTGGTCTATGTGCATAAACTAAAGCAAGAGATCACGAAAATGGAAGATGATACAGCTAGAAGCATAGGAGTTGAAGGGAAACACAGAAAGAAGGGACAGCAACCTGTAGTATGCCTTGGCAACAGTGTACAAGGAGAAACATCTTGTTTGTTAATAGTTTGGACAAGGTTGTATATTTCTACTTGCTTTCCTCTCATGTTCTTCAGTGCGTTGGTAGTTTTTCTGTGTGTAGAACTGATGCAAATTTATGTTGATCTTCATGCATCAGGGCCCCGGCAGAGGTCTGGTTTAAGCTGACCGTCGTCTTCGAAAGGCCCTCTTGAGCTTCTTCCAGATCTTTGGGACAATCCCTCTGCTCTGTCCCGCATGGCTGGAAGAGGTATGCCCGTTCTCTGGTTCTGGTCCTGCAACCTGCTTCAGTTTCTTGCTCTTCTTCCTGTAAAACTTCTTCAGCAGGTTCGGGCTCCGGTAGGGTGAACAACCATGCTGGGCTGCGTGCAGGGCCCTGTCGATCTGGTTCACCACTGCCTTGAGCTCCAACGAGTCGTACAGGTTGCTGCTCTGCGTCTTCCGGTGATTCGGTGTCCACCGGGGCGTCAAGGCATGGCCGAGGAGGCTGATCATGGTTCGGAGCTCATGCCAGTCGAAGAGGGAGGTGGTGGCTTGGTCTCTCTGTCCTGGCGACTGCAACTGGATCAAGGTTGTCGATGACCTCGGTGGCGTGGGTGATGCTCTTTCCATCTGCAAGAGAAGATATTGAGGTGTGGATGTTCACTTCTCGCTCGACTGATTGCAGGTAAATCGTTTCGGGTTCTATGCATACCAAACAAGAGGATGAATTGAATTGGATATTCAACATAAATTCCAAGACAACAAGACAGACGAAGCCACCAGGTATTTCGATGTGATCAAGATCGAGTCTCGAAACGATTGTTTCAAGACAAAAGATTGGGTAAGGATGGTTTTCTTATTTAAGCCAATTGTGCGTAGCCAGTGAGAGTGTCTTTATTAATGGTAGTCTCGAGTAATAGACCGACGTCAGTCAGGAAAACTATGTAGGGCCGTCGGATATCAGAATCGCGTCGCTCGCGCGATGATGATCTTTACATCTCGATCGTTTGTGACTCATCGGACGGTACACCCAAAATCACAATAATGCGATGTCCCCCTATAAGTAATTTTCATACTAAAATCATTTATGAATGAGCTATAAGTTTTATCTTTGTATGCACACGAGTTGAAATCACACAGTTAAACTGTTCATCAATTTAAGATCGTTTCTTCATTTACAGTATACAAAATGATAAAACTAAGATCCATAATTTAGTAAAATGAAGTGTGAAAACATGAAATTTAGGCGACTCTGATTTTTATTTGATGTTTATAATTGCATGTAAATGAGCCGTAAATTGTAAATCAATTTTAGGTGCTTATCTCATATTTTAATTTTAAAATACCAAAGTAAAGTTCGAAGGTTTGGTAAAAATGGTTAAAATTTAGACCTTTTTCATTCTTAGATAAGACTTATAATAGAGACATATGTGTTTAAAATTTTGTTTATAACGTTTTAACTTATTTCAAATTTAATCGAACTTTATATCAATTTAAAACATTGTTTGGCTTTATATGTTGCAATTTAAAATTTAAATACTAAATAGAAAAAAATGAATTCAAATTGGTAATATTACTTGAAAGTCATGAGAATCTTACATGAAGATTTGAATCAATTGATAAATTGCATTGTTTAATGCTAGTATTAATTATTATGAGATACAGATGGAAAATTATTAATCGACCACGAGTGCATTAATATCATAAACTGGTAATTATTATGTAATGACATTTACTGAAGGAAGAATCTTATTCAAAACGCATGTTTCTTGTGACTTATCCTTGGAATTTTCTCCTTTTTTTTTTCTGTTTTACTTTATTGCAGCAGCGCAGGTAGTAGCACGACAATGCGCACGGTAACTGCACCGGTTGTGGTGTCGTTCTCTCTGCCAAAGCTACCGTGGCGGAGGAGTACATCACATCTTCTCGCCTTCTCTCTCCCCATTGCCACTACCTCTCTAGGTTATGGATTACAGCCGTAGGTGGGCCGAACCCCAGGCGCCGCCGCAGCCGCCGCCGACGTACCACCACCCCGAATCCCACCTCTACAGCGCACCGCCGCCGCAGCCGGTCCCGCAGCATCTCCTTCCCCACCCCGTCGCTTACTATCCCTATCCTAATCCTCACCCCAACCCTTATCCTCCTGGCGATCCTGAGACCGCAGTCAGACCTGACGCCCATGCCAGTCACCACCGGATCCCCGCCGATCCCTATGCCAGTCGCCTCTACGCAACCCGTGGTGTGCACGACGGCCTTCACCCGGTGCCCTACCCTTATCCTGGACAAGAAAGTCCGCCGGCGGTTCCCGGGCCCATCCACCGTCCGTTCCCCGTAGATCCCTATGTCGGTGGCTTCTACGCTCCCCGCGGTGGGCACGAGGTCCTTCACCCGGCATCCTGCTCATATCGCGGAGGAGAAGGTCCGGCGGGGGTTTCCGGGGTGTCGTTGTACTACCACGGTCGTGGTGGTAGCGAACAACATGGATTCGCGGTGGAGGCGATTCATCCATTCCCCGGCGCTAATCCACTCGGTCATAGCGCTGTAAGTGTTTGTCTTAATTCCTCTTCCAGTTCTTCATTTTTGAAACTCTTCCCTCTTCCGTAAATATATCTCAAGGGTAAAAGACAATCATCAGACGTTGCTTGCTCGGAGTTAGTCATGTTCACCCTTGGATCAATTGGATGATGACAAAATTATCAAAGATTGGCATTCCTTATTTCGATTTAACAATGTACCAATAGTACCTTGATGTTGGGTAAGTGATTGAATCCTGGCCTTGTGAAAACGAGGATTGATATTTGTGCGACCTAATCCATTATTGCAAATCAATCCTGAACTAGTCCTATCATTTCATTTTCTGGTATACGACATAGTGGACTTGACCACCTCAATTCTTATTAAATCATGAATCAGATCATTTGTTCTTACCGTAACAAAGGAAGCGTAAAACTCACCCAGAGAACCATATTGTTCCTGATCCCAATTCAATACTAAGCAAGTCCGAACTAATTGAATACTTGTGTGAGAAATTCCTCGAATTGACTTGCCATTTCCATGAAGGATATAATTGACAACTCTAAGTTGGACATTATCCTTTTCCCGCAGGAGATCTTCAGGAAAAACTGTTGCCAAATTTATATATATTATCATGTTGCATTTTTATTGTTATAATTCCTATTTTACCAGCTGTTATGTTAGTTCGTTCTAACACCTTTCAACCCTTTCCTCCATCATGCATTTACACAATATACCAACTGTTTTTAGTAATATAAAAACAAACAAATATGATCAGCCGATCTTGCTATGCAGGAGACTGATAACTTTATAGCTTATTTTCGGTTAAAATTTTTTGCAGTATTGATAGTAACTCATCCTTTTTCTCTGGTGAGCATTTAGATTTTCCTGTAAATGGTAGACTATTATTGAAATAGAATTAGATCTGTTATGTTATAAGTATGGATATCTTTTTTCTCCAACTTGTAGCTATTTTATCCAAAAAAGAATTTGGAAAGAAGTTGTAAGATGCTATTTTGTTGGGTGTAATTGAAAATGGAACTTTTGGTGCTTAAATGTATAAATTCCTCAACTGATCATGTTGTTTAATTCTGTGTATCCGGCTTAGCAGTTAACCAGTGGACAAAGATCCTCAATTTGATTTTTAATGATTCAAAATACATATATTGTATATTTTTCCTGCTTATATGTCCAGTTCCCTTGATTTAGTATTATCTTTGGTATGGCTACAGGCTTACTACTCAAATTTTTGAGACTACAAGTTCTTTCAGCTGCTCACTATTTTACAATAATTGGATTATTTTTTACAAGATTGACCATTGTTTTTGGACGTTTTCATTAGTATCCTTGTATCTTTAATGTTCTGACTGCTTATAGATATGCTGGTATAACACAATTATGATACAGCCCATATAGGACAACATGCATTCAATTTGGTTCAAATTATAAGCCTTTGGCCGAAGAAAAAATGTTTCTGTTTCTTCTTAGGGGAGAGTATCGTTTTATGGATGATTGGGAAATTTTTTTCCTGATGCCATTGAAAAATATAGTCAGGCGTCTTACTTTTTTCTTTTAAAATTTACGCCATTGAAAGTCTCCAGTCAGGTGGCTTACTTCTTCATTCTTTTTAAGTTTTTACAAGTTTTCCATTGGTTTCTTCGGATGCTACTTGCCTGCAGGGTCAACCACAATTTTCTACGGAACTGGAACAACCAATTCCATCCCATATGCAATTCCCAGATTGGAACATGGCAATGCATCCTACCTCTAAACTAACAAAGAAAAGGACCCTGAAAGACCAGAAGTGGACCACCAAAGTAGTGCAATCAGCATATTGTGAAGTTTGTAAGATCAACTGCGACACTCAGGAAGTCCTGATGATACATAAACAGGGGAAAAAGCATCAGAAAAATCTGCAGAAGCTACAAGAGTCTGTTACAGCAAAGGAAAAACAAGAACCTATAGCCGCTGTGGAGAAGGAAACATCCATTGTTGAGGAAGAAAAATATGTAGGTGAACAAAAAAGGAAAAGAGGTGCTCTAGCAACAACTGAGGAGTTGGAGGAGAAAAAGCGCAGGGTTCTCGAGGGAGGGGCAGCAGCAGAAGAGGTGAAGGTTTGCACCCTTTGTAATGTAGTGGTCAACAGTCAGAAAGTATATGAATATCACATTGCGGGGCAGAAACATGCAGCCATGGTGAAGAAACAGCAAGAAGCAAAAGCTGCGGCCGAGAGTTGAAGACATTTATGTTCAGAAGAAGAAGCATTGACGCAATCTCCACCGTGCATGGAGGAGGTGTACTCTTTGTTTCTTGATCGTCTGTGATTCTGTTCCTACCCACGGTGGAAACTGGTTGTGTTCCGTGGATCATTTGTTTGTCGACCCATCATACTGTAGCAAACGAGCTCGAAATCGTGGTAGATGGTGAAATATCTAGAACTTTTCTTCACCTTAACTTGGATTCTGTTTATGCCAGTGATGTTTGTTTATGTCAACTGGGATTCAAGACAATCTAATTTACTTCTCTCAGGCAACTGACAGCCACATTGCATACTAATTTCTTCCTGTTGCTTATCTGCCCCTTCTACAAATATTAACATGCAGACAGAAGAAGTTTGCAGGCCACTTCTTTGTCTACAAGTGTGTATATACACTGTTATCTATAGCAAGAGGCTTGAAACTTGTAGAAAGATCACTAAGAGGGTTATGGACGTCGACAGAACTCACATGTGTTGTCATGCCGAGAGAGCACCAACAAAAGGCATTGGAGTAACAGAACAAATTTCATGAAGTCTATGCCTCCATGTATTAAGCTAAATTATTCTTTGAGATAGATTTACTTATTTTGTGAAAGTAGGAGAATGCATGATCAAACTCAAATAATAGAACTTCCCAAATTGTGTGGTGTCAACCACACACACTCCTCCTTCCTTGTCGATGACTTTGCTAACCCGAGTCCACACACATGGTCTTGATCCGAATCCGATAAAACACCCCCTTAGCAAATTCATATAACCAAGTGTATCTATATCGATAGCCGAATGTATCTAATATTAACCATTTGACTCACTGTTATTATCATTTATCAATAAAAAATAATAATATGTGTGCAACCGAAGTTAGAGCCCCATCAGTTATCTATATCTTTCACTTCAATTACTTACTAAGAAATAAATACAAATAGGTCGGATAGATCCGAACATCCAAAAAAAGTCCGACCCGCTATCATCCTTGAACGTCCGCTGTCCTTACACGTGGTCGGATCGGGTTCGGGATAGAATTCGGATTTGCGTAGCTAAACCCTTCCAGAGCTTTTCACGTGGTCCGACGTGGAACTGCCGCAGGATCAGGATCAGACGGTCCAAGGCTGTAACTGTCAGACGCCAGAGCTTTATCCTTTGCTCTCTCACACCTTCACGAACTCCGACGAACCTACGAGAAAGAATTCGCAGCCCATTCTCACAACTCTACCTATTAAGTGCCACTGACCTCTTAGCTTTTCCCCCAAACCACGGGAACGCCCTCGCCGCAGACGAACCAAGAAGCGACGAACGCCAAAGTCCGCCGCCCATGGCCGCCGTGTTCTGCGCCCCGCACCACCACCTCCCCGTCCTCCCACTGCCGTCGAGGAAATCCGGGATCCGTTCCTTCTCGGGCTCGCTCGCCCTCCCCAGCCCCTCCAAGGGCCGTGCGTCGGTGAGGC